GATAACTCTATCCGTCTATGGGATGTCAAAACAGGATAATAAAAAGCCAAATTAGATGGTCATAGTGATACTGTCTACTCAGTCTGTTTCTCTCCTGATGGAAATACATTAGCTTCAGGTAGTTATGATAAATCTATCCGTCTATGGGATGTCAAAACAGAATAATAAAAAGCCAAATTAGATGGCCATTCATATGCTGTCTACTCAGTCTTTTTCTCTCCTGATGGAAATACATTAGCTTCTGGTAATTATGATAACTCTATTCGTTTATGGGATGTCAAAACAGGATAATAAAAAGCCAAATTAAATGGTCATAGTGATACTGTCTACTCAGTCTGTTTCTCTCCTGATGGAAATATATTAGCTTCAGGTAGTTATGATAACTCTATCCGTCTATGGGATGTCAAAACAGAATAATAAAAAGCCAAATTAGATGGTCATTCATATGCTGTCTACTCAGTCTGTTTCTCTTCTGATGGAAATTCATTAGCTTCGGGTAGTTATGATAACTCTATTCGTTTATGGGATGTCAAAACAGGATAATAAAAAGCCAAATTAGATGGTCATACTAGTTATGTTAAGTCAGTCTGTTTCTCTCCTGATGGAAATACATTAGCTTCTGGTAGTCTAGATTCGTCTATCCGTCTATGGGATGTCAAAACAGGATAATAAAAAGCCAAATTTGATGGTCATTCATATGTTGTTTACTCAGTCGGTTTCTCTCCTGATGGAAATACATTAGCTTCTGGTAGTTATGATAACTCTATCCGTCTATGGAATGTTAAGAATGGATAAGAAATTTAATCCGATGACAAAAAATATAATAATATTCTTGCTTAATTTAAAGCACCACTTTTTTAGAACAATCTTCTGCCAGGTATTTATTAAATTATTATTTTTTAGTCTCTAATCATTCATATCATATTATATCCTAATCAATAATATTGGAAGCATAAGGAACACTTATCTTATAAGGAAAATTTATAAACCATTAAGGATAAGATTTGAAACCTTTATTTAAATCTAAAGGATGTTGCTTTTTAGAAGATTTATAGAAAAAGTGATTTGATCTATATCAAACAACAATTATAAATACAATTAATATCTAATATTATTTTTTAATTCTGTCTTCATTAATTTAACTCTTAATCTTCACTCTTAAAGCTAGGTAAGCTCCTATTCTTTAAAGTTTTATTCAATTTTAGTGTATATACACCACATTTACTTAAATATTATTAAAATATATGATCAGTTTAGTTTAGGGATTATTTATTTAAATATCATATATCAGGTAATCATAGTTCTATAACTCAAATATTTATATCAAAATAATCTGTATAAAATAACAAATTACAATTTTTAAAGTATGTCATTTAAAAATCGAGACACTTAATATTTCATGAGTTCCAATAAAATACAAATGAATCCAGATAAATATAACAAAAATTTTTTAATTATTTAAATAGGAAAATATATATATAAAACCTTAAATACTCTTATAAGAAACTTATAGCAACAATATTTCTCTTGATAAGAAAGGATGACAATTCTAAATGGTGAAAGAAAAATTTGCATCTAACATCATAATTTATACGAAAAATGGATTCATCAATCTTAGTTCGGATCATATTTAGAATCATGTATTAATATCATAATCAAAAACTTAATTCTTTGTTTAATATTTATAATAATAGTATGGGTCAATTTATGGATTTGGTTGAACTTGATATTTTGACACCATAATTATTTTAGCATTTGATCATATATTTTGCTTTGGCTAATAAATATTTTTTCAATTTGAGATATCTCATTTATGTTCTTTATTTTTAAACACCTCTATTTTACAATATTTTTTTAAAGATTTTATATTTTTATATTTATGGTATCTTGATGAGAATTGTATCTTTAATGTTATCTATCAAAAGGGCATTCTCTTCGACAAAAGAAGTTACTATTTCTTTAAAAATTTTCATTATATATTGAAAATTAAGCATAATGAGAATAATTAAACAAGGTATTTATATTTCATAAGTTTAACTTTGTTAATCAATATAAATCCCTATTCCAACAGCTATTGATA